TGATAAAATACATATTTTGTTATGTGCAAATGGCTTTAGATACCTGTTAGGTCCACAATTTTCCATATAGCATATATTCAACACAAAAAACAGTGACAATTTGTTGTTGACAAAGGACAGCTGGACATATAACGGGCCCCATTACCTTCAGTAGCTTAGGGCTTCATCAAACCTAAATCCAGCCCTGCTCCACACCCATATGCGTACACACACACACAAACACAAAAAAATCATGTATAATTTTCTCAGTAGAACCTAGGATATTTGCAGTTGGGAAGCCAGCTGTCCATCTGATTCCTTTTGCTTGAGTGGAGTTGGTCTCTGGCCCAACAGTGAGACTTTTGATCCTTCCTGCAAAGGGATTTTGGTTGCTTTCAATCTCCTGCACTTTTGAGGTTCTCAACGTTGCAAAGATACAATTTTGTATGTGTGTGAGAGAGAAAGCAGGGGCAAAACTAGGCTTTATTTCACCCAGTTTGGCACCCCCATGCTAGGACGCACAGCCTGGCACCCCTCTGGAGGTTTCACCTGGGGCAAAAAACTTGGCTAAACCATACACACCCCAGTAGCTACAGACTTGCACATTTGTTCCCTATGGTAGCATGACCATTATACAGCTGTTGTAAAATATGATTGATAGCCGAACTGACAGGATTTAAATCCTTTGTGGTAAGGAAAGTGGTATTGGCCTAACCACCAGACCCTCTCTAATTTCCCCCCTCTTTATCTGAAAACTTGCTTGTAAGTTGCAAGGCAGGATAATGTATTGCAGTTTATTTAACCTAGAAGACATCCTTAATGCGGTCTGAGGGACCTTTGCAGTGGTTTGAGGGATCTTGGTGTGTGGAGAAACGAAAAGCTGGCGTTTGCCACATGAGAGGAACTCCAGTCCTTTACCAATATGTCGATTGGGAGACCTGAATAAACACTGTTTTAGTAGCTTGCGACCAAATATAAATGGGCTTTGATGCAAGTAAACATGTTGGGGTTTTTTTAAGAGAGAGAGGGTCACAAGCTAATTGCCAGTGGGGATAAAGCTGCTACTGAGGACCTGGGAATGTGCAAGACATGAGGTTGCTTGAACTTACCTCAGCTCTGCTGCCAACTGGGTAATGTGGTGGACACAAAAGTTGATAAAAAGTCTGGGCTATTTAACATTGGAGGTGTTCCAGTTAGCTGGGGAAGGAAGGCTAGAGGGGCCTTGCGCACCACTTACTTTGCATTCCACACACCGCAACAAACACAATGCGCACAGTTCCCTCTTAGACCCTGACAAGAGCAAAAAGCAGCAGTCGGTCTGCAAACTGTCAGCCATTCACCACAGCATTCCAGAGTCCTGCCAGCCCAGGGATGGGAAAGTGGCGACTTTTCGATGAATCTACATAAAAATCTGCCAGGCTTTGAGGCTGGTGAAAAATCACATTGAATTGCAGTCATCGTTCTAATTATGTCATTACAAGAGCTAATCCACCCTGATTAGAAACAGTCCCATTAACAAACCACAGGCTTTTTACCTCTTTTCAAATGGCTACAGCAGAACCACTTTTCAAAACATCTACATAGAAAATAAATAAATCTCAAAACCGTAGAAACACACTGTTTCAGAAATACTTGCTTCCTAGTGGGAAAGGGCGGGTTTCTTCTCCCTTGCCATTTTTTAACCATCCAAGCTGCAGTATATCTAGTGATTACAGAAGAGGTATTTTAAAAAAGCAGCCCTGTATTTCTGTTGATTTGTACAAACAATCAGATGAATGTTGTTATTCAGTGATAGGAAATCTCAGTACAGTGGTACCTCGGGTTACATACGCTTCAGATTACATATGCTTCAGGTTACAGACTCCACTAACCCAGAAATAGTACCTCGGGTTAAGAACTTTGCTTCAGGATGAGAACAGAAATTGTTCTCTGGCGGCGCGGCATCAGCGGGAGGCCCCATTAGCTAAAGTGGTGCTTCAGGTTAAGAACAGTTTCAGGTTAATAACAGACCTCCAGAACGAATTAAGTTCTTAACCCGAGGTACCACTGTATTCCACATCCATTATTTGTATCTGGCTCATCTCTATACTCAGTTTTTGCAGTCTTTGTAGCTCTCCTGGAAGGAATGGACTTCCTCCATTCATGGGTGTGATCAAGAAGGCTTAGAATAGCTCTTCCTAAAGGAGATACTGGAGTGGGTCCACTATCATTCTGAAATTGCATATTCAAGGGCGCAGACAGGCTTTCTTTCACCCGGGTCAAAGACTCAGTTCGGCACAGCTCCATGTGCATCTGCATACACACAAAACACCCACACCCACACCTCAACACATTTGTTCTTACAGGGCATTGAAAAGTAGGCAAGATATTATCTGAATACAAATACAAAGTTTTGTTTTTTTAATATAGTAAATAATCTTTCATTATTATATAATAGTATATTGATATTTTTATTGATTTCCAACATAATTTACACAACTAAATATCTAACAAAACTTGTAACAGCAAGTAAAAAAAAAAATGCAGTATTGTAAAAAATTGCATTACCAGACTTTCCCCCCACTATGAATCCATTTCAAGAGCGGATTGGCAAATCCTATTATACTAAACACAATATTAACTGCAAGATAAATAATATAATGTAAATCATATGCATACATACCTACACCCTGAATGTCACATCTATTATGTTGGAAAATCAAATGCAAGCCTCCATAGCCACTTCAGAAAATATGGCATCTATTACAAGAAATCAACAACCACACATGACCTCTTGCAAGATATTTCAATTTGCATGAGTATTCAGTCCTGGGAATATTTACAGTAGGAAAACCACTCCCTCCCCCCTGAGATGCTAAAAGCTCCTGGCCTCAACTTGGAGGATAATACTTAAACTTTTACCTAGGTTCTTAATTCTTTTTAAACCTCTTGCAATTTTATAGCAGATGAAAAATCCCTTCACCATCTTCCACATTCTTAAGAATGGATTACTACATGGGATTACCATCTCAATAATAACTAGGCCTGTCTTAAATGGGATGTAGACTGGAATCAGATTTCCCCCCCCTATGGTAGACCCTGTTACGTGGAACTCCCTATCTGATGCCTAACTAGTAAACCTCCTTGCATTTGAAAGAAATGTTTGTACCCTAAAGTTGTCTCCAGGCACTGAATGACTTTTCCTTGGCTGAGTTTTTGATTAAACTGCTGCTGTTTTAGTCTTTTGAGGTACAGTATTCCATTTTGTTTTTAATATTTTTTGAAGTTTTACATTTTACTGACTGTATTTTTAATTGAAATGTAGTAGTAGTAGGAGTAGTAGGAGATGTTGTTGTTGTTTTGTTTAGTCGTTTAGTCGTGTCCGACTCTTTGTGACCCCATGGACCAGAGCACGCCAGGCACTCCTGTCTTCCACTGCCTCCCGCAGTTTGGTCAGACTCATGTTCGTAGCTTCGAGAACACTGTCCAACCATCTCGTCCTCTGCCGTCTCCTTCTGCTTGTGCCCTCCATCTTTCCCAGCATCAGGGTCTTTTCCAGGGAGTCTTCTCTTCTCATGAGGTGGCCAAAGTATTGGAGCCTCAGCTTCAGAAGCTGTCCTTCCAGTGAGCACTCAGGGCTAATTTCCTTAAGAATGGATGCGTTTGATCTTCTTGCAGTCCATGGGACTCTCAAGAGTCTCCTCCAGCACCATAATTCAAAAGCATCAATTCTTCGGCGATCAGCCGGTAGTAGGAGTAGTAGTAATAATAACAACTGCTTTTTCCATCTACAAGATAACTTGACTTAAAGTACCAGTGACACCAGGCAGACTAAGGCTTCATCTGACACTACAGAAAGCCTACTCAGGGGTCAGCTAACTTTTTCAGCAGGGGGCCGGTCCACTGTCCCTCAGACCTCGTGGGGGACTGGACTATGTCTTGAAAAAAATAATGAACGAATTCCTATGCCCCACAAATAACCCAGAGGTACATTTTAAATAAAAGGACACATTCTACTCATGTCAAATCACGCTGATTCCCAGACCGTCCGTGGGCCAGATTGAGAAGGCGATTGGGCCAGATCTGGCCCCCGGGCCTTAGTTTGCCTACCCATGGCTAGCACTTAGCTTGTGATCGGCTTCTCTATACTGATGACATGCCTTTGGCAGTGGCTGCACTTTGATTTCCATTCTGTATGCCTAAACCGGCCTTCAAGCAAAGAGCAGGCTGTTCCGTAAGAAAATCATCTTTGTCATTGCCTGACATACAGGACACAAAGAAGTGTTTATATGATGCTTCTCAAAATATTCTGGACCTGTCATGCTCTTTCTTTCAAGTTCTTTAGTTTTTTCTTCACCCTTGCCCAGCATCCCTGTTCTGTGAAGAGGTAGATCCATTGCTGTAGCAAAAGATTTCCAGTCCCATGACTGTCGAGATCTTTTCCACTGGAAATAAATTAATGTTGTGGGATTTGGGGGTTGGGGTTGGGCAGGTGAATGGATCCAGGGGCACAGCTGGAGATCTGCCTTAGGTGCTCCTTTCTTAGGGAAATGGCAGGTAAAAATGGCCAAGAAATTCTAGGAAATATTTGGAGAAAATATTTCCACGTTGGCAAAAGGGCAAGCCTTTCTTAACTGCCATGACTGACAAGATCTAGGTCTCTGTGAAGAAAACCAAGAACAATCTGCAGTGTTTGAGACAGAGACAAAGAGGGGCACAGAGATCTTAGTTTAAGGATCTGTAGGTATCTGAAAGGGATCTAACAGAGGAGCGGTGGACTTTGGCTATCTTTTGGAGTGTTTGAACTGTGCATTCAGGGATAATTCAGTCCTACGTCACTTCCCTCTTTGTTTAGGATTCCCTTACCCACCAACTTACCTCGCCCCAACCCTGGTGTTTCTCTCGCATGCAGAGAGCTGTGCCCACATATAATACTGAAATCTCCTGTTGGCATGTAGGATAATGAATCATAGACTTGTAGAGTTGGAAGGTACCCTAAGGATCATGTAGTCCAACCACCTGCAATGCAGGAATATGTAGCTTTCCCATACAGGGATTGAACCTGTGACCTTTATCAGCACCACGCTCTACCCAACTGAGTTACCTCAGGAGCAAATCCTTTCCCTGAAGATGCTCGTAGGATAAGACAAAGCTTCTCCAAGATACCTGACTATTGTTTAGATCAGGGATGGGGTACCTTTTTCAGGCTTAGGGCTTCATTCTGATCTGGGCAACTTTCCAAGCGCCACATGCCAGTGCTGAGCCAGAGGCAAAAGTACACAGAGCAATTAATGCCTATTTCAGCTTTCTACAGTCGGCCGGTTTTCACACATGCATATAGAGCCCTATCTTCAGTCCATCCGGGCAACCAAGAGGTCTTTCCAGAGTTCAAGAGCACATTCCAAGCAGGCAGAGGGCAGTGGCGGAGCTAGCTGCTCCTTGCACCCAGAGCGGTGGGGTGATCTGCCCACGGGGCGATCGGCGCAGTGCCACTATCCTCCGGGGGTGTGATTGCGGCACAGTGGTGTGATCCTCCCGGCGGGGGGCCGACCATGGTGCGGTGGCACGATCTGCCCTGGGGGGGAGGTTGTCACCACCACCCCTGGGATGGCACCTGGGGCAGACCACCCCCACCCCTTTGTACGCCTCTGGCAGAGGGTCAAGGAGGTGTGGGGTGTGGTTTGGGGAGAGGGGATGTGGCTGAGGAAGGAATCTGACCTGGGAAGAGTCCTGAGGGTTAGAGAGAGAAGCCGGGGGGCTCCATTTGTTCCCCTGGACCTGAGGTTCCCCAGCCCTGATTTAGATACAGTGGTACCTCGAGTTACAGGCGCTTCAGGTTACAGACTCCGCTGACCCAGAAATAGTACCTTGGGTTAAGAACTTTGCCTCAGGATGAGAACAGAAATCGCATGGCGGCAGTGGGAGGCCCCATTAGCTAAAGTGGTACCTCAGGTTAAGAACAGTTTCAGGTTAAGAACAGACCTCCAGAACGAATTAAGTTCTTAACCCGAGGTACCACTGTACTTGAACAACAACAGTATTCCTTCATCTTGTGTTTTTGCGAAATGCTTCTATATACTAGTACAGGAGCTCCTGGTTGGGTCAGTGCCCTTTATCTGAAAGAAACAGGTCTTCTGAGCTTCTCTGAGACAGCAATCCTATGCACACTTTCCTCAAAGTAAGACAGCAGGAAACACCCAGATGATTGTGAGGCATAAATGTTAAGTCAATGAGGCCTCACAGCTGACTTATTGCTGCTCTTCTCTCGACAGCAGACCAAAGATCTCTGCCAAACTATGCGGTGTGGTTTTGGCAGCGTGACCTACTTACCACAGAAAAGTGAGTGAAGAATTGCACTTCTTGTTTGGGAGAGAAGGCTGGGCTTGAAGCATTTAGCTGTGGCCCAGGGCGCAAGAAGCGACTGCTTTAGCTGCCTCTTAACACTTGGGTTTATCCACTCTCCCAGTGGACACCACACAGATATATGTACAAAATTTGTAGCCTTGGATATCCTGGTTGTGTCACAGGTTCTTTTTTCCATTGATCTTTAGGTTAGCTTTTCTTTTCATGATTCCACCCCACTGCCCAAATTCAAAACCTGGGGCAGGCAGACTGGAGAGGGACTGCTTATTTTGAATTTTCATTATTTATCAGTATTACATTGATACCCCTCCCGCTTTTCCTCCCAGTTCAAGGTGGCATCCAAGGATCTCATTTTCCCCATGTTATCCTCACAACCACCCTGTGAGGTAGGTTAGGCTGAGAGTTAATGCCTGGCCTGAGGCCATACAGGGAGGTTTGTGGCTGAGTTGTGGTTTTAACCCTGCATGATTAGTTGACCTCAACGACAGCTTTTTGGAGTCATTTCCTTCACCATAAGGTAAAGGGACCCCTGACCGTTAGGTCCAGTCGTGACCGACTCTGGGGTTGCGGCACTCATCTCGCTTTATTGGCCGAGGGAGCCGGCGTACAGCTTCTGGGTCTTGTGGCCAGCAGGGTCATGTGACCAGAGCAGCACACGGAAACGCCGTTTACCTTCCCGCTGGAGCGGTACTTATTTATCTACTTGCACTTTGACTTGCTTTCGAGCTGCTAGGTTGGCAGGAGCAGGGACCAAGCAACGGGAGCTCACCCCGTCGCGGGGATTCGAACCGCCGACCTTCTGATCAGCAACTCCTAGGCTCTGTGGTTTAACCCACAGCGCAACCCACCCCTTCCTTCACCATAGATGTGTATATTTAGTGTTCTGCACTTCCAGTTCTTCACAATTTTGTCATTAAGCAACTCCTTACAGTCTTCAGCTGAAATGTTAACCAACAAACATATACAAATCACCCAAAGTACTCTAGACAACAGTCCAACTGAAATAAAAGTGCTACTTTAAAAATGTGAATACTAAAAAGTAAAACAGAAATGCAGAGGTTTCTTTCTTTCTTTCTTTAAGTTTAGCCCAAACAGCCTACGGATAAATAATCCCTAGTCCCCAGAGGAGATCTTATTGCTAATATAGTTCATAAGCTGAGGGGGGAAAGCAGGATGTCAGAAGTGATTTCCACTACGAGAATCCAAAAGCACAACTCCACTCATAACATTTTGCAAACCCCTGGGGGTCTCCAAATGTCTGGAACCAGGAAAAAGCCGGGCAAAGTTCACAAACGTGAAGAGCATTAGGAAGGAGGATGGGCCAGACCAAATACCCACAAAACATCTGGCCAAAAGAGAGTTCTAAATGAAAAGTGATGGGAGATTCTTGCAAAATCGAGAAGGGACTGTCTGTACCACTCATTCAAGGAACTTTTAGGGATTCTCCTCCCCTCTTCTTTTCATAATATGTCACTCTATCTCAGATCCCCTTTCCCCAAAAGTATGTCATAAGTACCCCCCAGTGCACTTTTTTAATATCTGCAATGTATTACTCCACCCCCTCCCCCCAAAAAACCCTGGAGAAATCAACAAGTTACAAGATTTACACTTTCCCTCTGGTGTTTGTCTTTCCTTGTTACATTTATTTTCGCTTGCTTATATTCCACCTACAAACCAGATTTCTCAGGCTAGACTGTCAATATACTTACAATAGAATAATAAGACTGTCAATATACTTAAAATAGAATAATAGTGACTAAGAAGGGGAAGACATGGATTCAACTCCCACCCCTCAATCCTCTGAATTCCTGGGCTTCCCAAAAGATCATAACTCAGAAGAACCTAGGTGCAGATATGGCTGCCCAAGAAGCCAGATGTTAGTGGGAATTCTTCTGGGCTATTGTTTCTGCCACTGCCATCTTTTGTGACTTCTGGGGCTCTGGTGGCAGACAACTGACCAGGGGTACAGAACTTGGCCAGCTGGATCTTGAGTTCCCTCGTGGCCAGCAGGCCACTTCAATACATGGGCAGGTCTGCCCAGCTGTTAATCACAAAACATCACCAAGATGTCAGGTGAGCCAAGTTCAAAGGAAAGAATCAAGACTTGCTCCAAAGGCATTCCTGGTTGTCCCCTTCTTCTTCCATCCCAGTTTGAACTCAAGCTGGGCTGCAAAGGAAGATCCCTTCCAAAAGGGGTTTTTCAGATGTCACTGATCCCTGTCAATCACAGGGTTTGCAGGCACTGCAATTCAGTGCTGGTTTGCAAATCCTGCTTCTGAAATGGATCAGCTCCACCTGGTTGCTCCAAAGTGGGACAACTCCTACTACAGCTTGAATTTACTTGTTGTCTTCACCTGCCAGTACGTTTCTGAGCACAATTCAAAGTGTTGGTGTTGACCTTTAAAGCCCTAAACGGCCTCAGCCCAGTATACCTGAAGGAGCGTCTCCACCCCCATAGTTCTGCCCAGACACTGAGGTCCAGCGCTGAGGGCCTTCTGGAGGTTCCCTCATTGCAAGAAGCAAAGCTACAGGGAACCAGGCAGAGGGCCTTCTCGGTAGTGGCACCCGCCCTGTGGAACACCCTCCCATCAGATGTCAAAGCGATAAACAACTACCTGACATTCAGAAGACATCTTAAGGCAGCCCTGTTCAGGGAAGTTTTTAATGTGTGACATCTTAGTGTATTTTTGGTCTTTGTGGAAGCCGCCCAGAGTGGCTGGGGAAACCCAGCTAGATGGGCAGGGTACAAATAATAAATTATTATTATTATTATTATTATTATTATTATGCCCCACATCTGATGTCACTTGTGTGGGGCAGGTAATTGTGGTTTGAGGGAAATGGTCTCACCAGCCAACTTAGGACCCCTTCTGGGCCCAATTAAACTTGTGGGAGAGGGGTTCCCCACCATAGACTTGGGATGTGCGGAAAGCAGTTTCTAAACTGCTTATGAAATAGCCTGTAATTTGCTGTTCCATGGCCTCACGGAAGTGATTCCACATTGCGTGAGTTTTTGTGAGCATCTGCGAGACTACAATGCCCTGGGCTGTCCTTCTTTGAAATTTATGTAAATGTTTTCAAAATACAGTGGTACCTCGGGTTACATACACTTCAGGTTACATACGCTTCAGGTTACAGACTCCGCTAACCCAGAAATAGTGCTTCAGGTTAAGAACTTTGCTTCAGGATGAGAACAGAATTCATGTTCCCGTGGCGCAGCAGCAGTGGGAGGCTCCATTAGCTAAAGTGGTGCTTCAGGTTAAGAACAGTTTCAGGTTAAGACTGGACCTCCGGAACGAATTAGGTACTTAACCTGAGGTACCACTGTAATTCTTTTGAAAAACTTTTTTTTGTAATAATAAATTCTATTCTGTTGGCTTCCCATACCCACCTCAATGCAATACAAAAGGAGCAACACATGGCTGTGCATTCTTGACTCCAAAAGTGACATTTGCCAGGGCTCTCAGCCTCAGACACCCACTGGGTGGGATTCAGTCATAAAGAGGAAGTGTATACAATGAAAGCTACAGTGTGTGTATATTAAAATATATATACTGACATGATTTTTCAAAAAAATTATCTGAGTTCCTGTGGTTGTTGCTCAGACAAGAACAGACGTATCTCCTAAACAAACCTGTACTGGTACAAAGAACTATAGACTTTTAAGTCTTAAGGGCATGCCTTCATAACCAATATAATTTGAAGAGCACAGCGTATTTGTAAATGTTTTCATTCAAAACAAACTAAT